AGCAACCCTTTCGCACGAAATGAGGGTCGATCGGCAAAAACTGAGGTAAAATTAATTGCGATTTGACTTGCCCTGGAGCAACCCTTTCGCACGAAATGAGGGTCGATCGGCAAAAACTGAGGTAAAATTGCCATTTGACTTGCCCTGGAGCAACCCTTTCGCACGAAATGAGGGTCGATCGGCAAAAACTGAGGTAAAATTGCGATTTGACTTGCCCTGGAGCAACCTTTCGCACGAAATGAGGGTCGATCGGCAAAAACTGAGGTAAAATTGCGATTTGACTTGCCCCGGAGCAACCCTTTCGCACGAAATGAGGGTCGATCGGCAAAAACTGAGGTAAAATTGCGATTTACTTGCCCCGGAGCAACCCTTTCGCACGAAATGAGGGTCGATCGGCAAAAACTGAGGTAAAATTGCGATTTGACTTGCCCCGGAGCAACCCTTTCGCACGAAATGAGGGTCGATCGGCAAAAACTGAGGTAAAATTGCGATTTTTCGTGTGCTGGAGTAACTTTTTCGCACGCAAAGAGGTTTGTGTGTACGAGCGTTTCTGTGTAAAGATGTTTGTGTGTAAAAGTGTTTGTGTGTACAAGTGCATCTGTGTAAAAGTGTTGTCTGTAAAACCTTCTGTGTGTAAAAGTCGTTGTGTGTAAACGGGTTTGTGTGTACGAGTGTTTCTGTGTAAAGATGTTGGTGTGTACAAGTGCTTGTATGTAAAATTGCATCTGTTTAAACGTGATTGTGTGTAAAAGCTTCTGTGTGTAAAAAGTGTTTGTGTGTAAACGTGTTTGTGTGTCGGAGTGTTTCGGTGTAACGATGTTTGTTTGTACAAGTGTTTGTGTGTACAAGTGCATCTGTGTAAAAGCAATTGTGTGTCAAAGCTTTTGTGTGTAAAAGTGTCTCTGTGTAAAAGGGTTTGTGTGTAAGAGTGTTTCTGTGTAAAGATGTTTGTGTGTAAAAGTGTTTGCGTGTAGAAGTGCATCTGTGTAGAAGTGTCTGTGTGTAAAAGCTTTTGTGTGTAAAAGTGTCTGTGTGTAAAAGGGTTTGTGTCTTAAAGCGTCTCTGTGTAAAATGGTGTGTGTGCACCAGGGTTTCTGTGTAACAGGTGTTTCTGTGTGACAGGGGCAATGTGTGTGTGTAAAAGCAGCCTTGCTTACATGTTTTGTTTTCTTGCCTCGTTGATTCTTTGGCGTGTTTGTTTTCCGGTCATCCCTGTCATGTTCAGGCCTTGCTGGCAAGTTTGACGCAGTCCTGACTTGTTTGCTTGGCATGTCTAGTAGGCATGTTTACCTTTACCCTGAAAGAAACATGAATGGATTAATGAAGTTACATTGGAATTCACTAATTTTGGATTGTGGAGTTTTTGGGTAGCACTTTAGCATCACATTTCCTTGCTGAGGTTGGCATGAACGTTTGTTTGTTTGCTACCGGAACTGTCCGAGCAAACATGACCGCAAGCATGTCCAGATCTTCTTTCGCGCAGACATGTTCGTGTGCATGTTTGCTTGACTTCTGTATGTAAAAGCTTCTGTCTGTAAAAGCTTCTGTGTGTAAAAGCTTCTGTGGGCAAAAACTTTGTGTGTAAAAGCGTCTTTGTAAAAGCGTCTGTGTGTAAAAGTGTTTGCGATGCAAACTATTGTCTTGCACTTCTCACTATTTTGTCTTGATACTCCTCTTCTCGACTGCCTATAACACAGCTTTCATATACCGTTTCTAAAATTGCGTCTCCATACTAACCAGAGAAGACCCTGCTCCTCTACGCTCTCGGGCCATCCGTCGTCTAGTTTTTTTTTAATATATATGCAACAGTTGAACATGTTTTTCCCTGCCTCTGTAGGGACATACACTTTGGGCGTGTCGCAAATTGGAGTCAGACATGGAACAGACGCATTGGCACCAAAAAAATCCTACGGTGGAGCCAAAGTGAACAGAGGGTCTCATCGACGAGTGGCGTGGATCTGATAGAAAATGGCCACTGGTCGATGGGTACACGGTGCACAAGCCCACAATTGAAATTTTGATGGACAAAAATTTGATTGACCAGAGTATTTTCAAAGAAACCTTGTTGGATGAGTTGTTTCTCTGTCAGGTCAAGAATGACCTTGGAAGGTGCCCAGAACATTGTTTCAACTGGTTTCTGCTAGGCAATAATTACACATGTTCATCAAATGTTCTGGGCCAATCCTGTTTCTCCAGAAAAGATTGACAGTGCTGCTTTCCATGGCCCAGAGAGGAACACATATTGAGGACCAATCCATGCTGTAGCGCCTCCACGACAAGAGCAGTCATAGTGTCATATGTTGGTGGAGTCCACGGTAAGGATTCTCAAATTGAAAGTGCAAGACAAGACAGAACATTCGCAGCTTGCAAGTCCAAGCTTCAAGACTCTCGTGACATTGGATGGCTTTCAGTTTATGGCTGGTAGGTTTTCACATTCCCTTTGAACGCTTGTGACTCTTGTGACTCTTGTGACTTTCATAATTTTCCCATCTTCCATGGCTATGTTGGCACTGGCTGAGCCCAGATCTCTGGTCCATCTCCAGGGTGCACTGGCTGCTTTGAGTCGCTGCCGACCTCGCGGACTCAGCGGTCGCGACATCCGTGTTGGAACTCGGTGGCAAGGCCATCGCCGTTGCTTCTCTTCAGAAAGGGAAGTCAAGGACGAGAAGGAGACACCTGAGCCCCCGCGACTTGAAACTTCATTTGGGAGGTTGGTATCTTGATGTATCCTTGTGGTTGTGGAGGATATACTTTCTTTGTATCCATCTATTCAATCTATTCCACTGTTTTCAGACTGCTTTGTCAGCTCTGATATATTTTTAATTTTCTTCGCTGTTTGTGAAGGCTATATAGATGGAGCAATCACGGGCAGTCTGCTTTGGTTTTCTTCGAAAGTCCATTTGAATATTGACCTACCACGAAGACACTAGAGCGCTTAGCCACCCTTCGGAACTAATTTGCCTCATGCTGAAACTGCTTTATTCCAATAAATTTTGGACCCCAAGTTCATTTTTTGGTACTTGTGGGACACCCACTTTCCCATTGTTCGCCACATTTTCGCCACATTTTTCACCACATTCCAGGCAAACCTTTGGTGAGAAGCTGGTGGTCTTCGGCCTTGCCTTGCGTGGCATGGCGCTGCTGCCCCGTTTCGCGCCCGCTGCACAAGTGCTGCGCTTCGCCGGGGTCGGGCCCATGGCAGTGGGCGCCGCCGTGTCGTTGTACGAATTAGGCGGCTGGCGATTGCTGTTGGCGGTGCCGGGATCGGTGGGGTTGGCGGTGTCGGCCTCCGTGTTGACGGAAAAGAAGCTGGAGGAGAACTTGGGGTTTTTGAATTTTGAATGTGTTCATTTGGCTGGTGAAGTTCTCTTTCTTGCAGATCAATGTATAATTTACTTGGTGGATTTTCAATCACTGGTGAATGTCCCCTGTTTCGTCACCTGGAAACTCCTTCCCATGTGACGTTTCAGGAGCAGCTGAAGGAATCAGTGCAGGCGCGGCTGAGCGAAGTGGGCTGCGTCCCGCCAGAGCTGATGCAGCTGCCTGATGCGAAAGTGGCGAACTTTGAGACGAACCGCTGCAAATTGGAGGCAGTCTATAGAAGGGATGGCTTCACCTGGCAGCTGGAGGTCTTGGGCCAATGGGTGGGTGATTTTTTGATTGGACTTGAAATCAAAGGTGGTTCAGTAAAAATCCTCAGGTTGGTTGGTGGAGGTAAATGAGATCCCATTCAGGTGAGAGCGGAGCGGAAGAGCTTTCCCCTCAAGTGGGAGGTGACGCAGATCCACGTGAAGAAAGGTTGCTGCGCTCCAAGCGGACAATCACTTCCGCCACAGACAAGACACTGGGATCCACAGCAGGAAGTTCTGAAGTGGAGTACTGTGTTCAGTGAGCCGGCCCTGGCAAATTCGGAGTGACCGAAGTTATAGCAGCTTCAGGTGCCTGTTCTGGAGGATCGCTGAACATACATAGCCGACATAGCCGTTAAAGAAGGAGTTGCTGAAACTTATTGGCGACTTTTGAGATCTTCAAGCTCTGTTGCTGAAGAATTTTGCGCCCGGACTCTCTTGGAGTGGCCTCAGACCGAACTGACTTTAACGTCTGCGAAGCAGCGGTCAACACTTGCCGTGTCTGGTACAGTCTCCTTGGGACATGGCATTGCTCATGCAAAAGGTCTTGATGTGCGGGATGTGGTCAGGTTTGTTCGGAGATTTACATACAGCTTGAGAAATCTTGAGATGTTAAAGGATCACCAGCACTTTATGTTCGCATCATTTTGCATCCACTTGGTTGAAGAATGTCTTCTTGGACAAGCAACTTAAGATAGACCACTCTTTGAAGCTTTCCAGCCCTGAGGCTCATATGGAACAGTCCGCTGAACAGGACGTGGCTGCGCTATAATTTTTGATCCTGCACACAATCCCTCCCCAGCATTTCATGCATGTTATGTGATGTTCGAGTCAACCATGACGTATGCCGAGACATTGACTGTGCTCCAGAGATACAGCAAGTGGTGGAAACCATGATTGTAAGCTATCCACTATTTAGCAGCACCTCAGCAAAAAAAAATCCGACGTGTTTAAGAAGTGCCAATTCCATATTGATCCAGGATGAGCCCCTTGTAGCTGGCCGTGGTGCGCCCTTCTCGCGCGGGGCCCATGTTTTTTTCCCCAACAGCGTAAGCTAATGGGGTCTTCAGCCCAGAATAATGCCGGTGTGTACTGGTGCAGCCGCCGGAGGTTCAACGATGTTCTGGAGAAGGTTCCAGAAGGTTCCAGGAGGCTTTGGTGCAGGTGCCGGGTCAGGTTCAAGAAGGTTCCGGAAAATGTTCTGGAGAAGGTTCCTGTTCAACGAGGTTCCAGAGAAGGTTCTGGAAGGCGTTGGTGGAGAGCCAGGCCAGGTTCAACGACTTTCCGGAAAAGCTTGTGGAGAATTTCCGGAAGGTATTGGCCATGTCCAACAAGGTTCCGGAAGGTTCCGGAGAAGGTTTCGGAAGATGTTGGCGCAAAGCCAGGCCAGGTTCAACGAGGTTCCGGAAGGTTCCGGAGAAGGTTTTGAAGAAGGTTCCGGAACGCCTTGGTGCAGAGGTGGGCCAGGTTCAACGAGGGTTCAAGTAGGTTCCGGTGCGATTCCGGGAGTGTGTCGGCGCAGCTTTTAGGTTAATTTCCAGCCAATTTCGGACGAACAATTCTGTGAAAACAAATTACTGCTGCTGTTGGGGATACCACCGAAGCTTATTTCCTTTTTCTGGATGTTGGTGCAGTGGTTAACACAAACTGTTTCAGGTAGATTATCATCATGGCAATGACAAGGAGAAAGTAAAGTAGATAATGATGATATAAGTTAGAACAAAGGTGCTTTAAACGATAACAACTGGAAGGCCTGCTGAATCCAAAAGCATTATTGACAAGCATTGACGAGTTGCAGCTGCTTCTCACCATCGCAATCAGGCTGGTCCTCAGCAGCTTTTGGAACGTCTCACCCGCATGTGATGGCACCCAGGATAGGCACCTACACCGGAAATGGCCATTTCAAATCGAGAAGATGATGAGAACACATGGGATGTTGGTGTAGCCATACAATAGTGCCCTGACCCCATGACAGACATGGTGATTCTTGCTTGATTTTTACACCAGGACTGGGTGTAATCTGAGGGCAAAAGATGCCCAAAGTTCCAGATACCCCCTATGATGGGTGGAAAAACCGTCCCACTGGCAGATATTCTGATATTCTGCATGCAAGAATCGTCTTTGTGATTGGCCCAAGATGGTTGAGCATGGAGGATGTGTAATCTTTGGGCATTCTGGGGATCAGTTTCCTCTTTTTACTTCTTTGGAACAAGATTGACTTGCCAAAACTGCTTGACTAGCCCTGAAGCTCACAAACGTTGCACGGCATCCGTGTAGGCGTCACAGCGAGGTGAATTTCTTGGCAAGAAAGATGATTTTGTTTATCCCATTGGCAAACCTTATTTCGATAAAGACATTGGTGCACTTCCCTGCTTTGCAAGTGTTATGTTAGATAAATGGAGAATGTACCTAGTAACCTCCCTTTTGTTGTGTTGGTTTCGATTGTCCTAAGATGTCGCAAGGTTGCGAAAGCTTGAGGTGTTGTCGTCCTGCCAATTATACTGAGATCTCTGAGATCTCTTGTCTAAGGCTTCGTGAACTTCAGCTTCAGAGGGTTGATGTCCCCGAAGGGCAGGCGACAGGGCAGCAGTTCCATGTGTTTCGCAGAGTATATCATATAAAACTCGTGCGGCTTACGGACGGCTGCAGACCAGAGGAAGTGTGGTTCTTGTGTTCATTTCATGCAAGCAGTTTATGAATGTTTATGATATTTCAATAATTTTCAATATATTTCATCATTTATTGTAAACATGTGTAAACCATGATCCAACTAGAATCAGAGTGACAGTATTGTGGGGATGATTATAAGTCAAATAAGCGATTGTCACCGACAGGTGTTTCTCCTTCGACGATGATGCCAAGGGCTTTGTGTGAAGCCCGAGTGACCTCCATATCGCATCAGCGAAACACGACGTTTTTTGATGGTTTAATATGGGGGTTGTACTAATTGGATCTAATTGGTTTATTGGGGATTATAGGAATATGTTATTATTACATATTATTACTTTTATACCAACTGGAATTCAATCAGCAAATGATAAACATTGATGCTATGGGGCATATGGCACACCCCAGGTGCGCGGTGAAGGAAGCGCTTCACTTGTGTTGCGGAGGCTCTTTGGCGAAGAGGCATGGAGTTTGGAAGTGGGTCTGTCTGAAATTGGTGCATTTCAATTTTGGATGTTTAACATCATCATATTCCCCATAAAAAATATAAAAATGCACACACACATGGCGCGCCATACAATTATACCCTATTTTCAAACACACCCAAATCTTTTTGCGTGCAATGACGCTGAGTGAAATGCTTGAGTGCCGTCTGGTTTGATTTGATTCCGTGATGAATCTGATGGCTGCCAGGTGGATTCTTCCGGCAACGAGGGTCTCATCAGGCTGGGGAGCAGTTTCTGTCCTCATGCCACCAATATTTTTTTTCCCTGTATATCCAAAGGAAATCATGTGCAATTAGGAAAGAAATGATCAGACGACACACGTGTTTATGCGAAGGATTGCTCGGCAGTTTTTTTTTTAAACAGGAAACCATTTTGGTTCCTGGTTTGCCAACATGCCATATCTTTAAGGAAGAAGAACATTCATATTACATATTATGTAAATTATATTATACATGCATAAAACAAAAAAACGGTTGTTGCAAAAAACCATGGTTTCCTTTAGGTTTTTCCTGCACTGCTGAGGGCAGTAGAGATGACCCAGTCTGGTGCTGCTTCAGATGTAGATGCCGCGTTCCTGGTCAGGAGCTCAGTTGGATATGGACATTCTGAGTGATCCAATCTTAGGATCCTCACCTTTTGGGCAATGCAAAGAGAACATCAAACAACCAGAGACCAGTTGGTTTGTTACGAACAGTTCGAAACAGCCAAGGTTCAAACTATTTTTTTTTTCCCGCGAGCTAGGCAATCCAAGAGCTACTGGATATGGTGCTGGCTCGCAGCTACTGTCGGTGGGGACCTCTAGAAGGAAAGTGATGTCGATTCACAGGTTATGGTGATTAAACATGATATTAAACACCATTTGCATGGGCGCATCATAGCCATGTATTCAGATGCTCACTCCCAGCGGCCAGGCCCTCTGATGTAGATATGGTGGAATGCCACGCACCAGGAGCATCAGTAGCAAGGAGCCTCAAGGGATCAGTGATAGTCGTTGACTGGGTATTGGCAATTTGGTCCACTTGACGGGGGCTTCATGGCTGCTCATGCTGAGGCAGATGCGATGGAGGCCATTTCTTGCAACTACGTGCTGCGGGAGGACTGGCATGCGTGAGGTTGCTTTGAAGCGGAGATCATAATTGCGAACCCCAAAATGGGAGACCCCAGGAAACCTTGGAGCCGCTTCAACCTTTGTGGCTGGCTCAGTCCACAAGAGTAGGTGGGATTCCTGAAATGGAGAAAATGTGAAGCCCTTTCAAAATCTTGCGAAATGGGTTGGAGAATGGGGTCACCCCATTCCATCCGATGGTTTCTCATCATTTTCCCCATCAAAACCAACTAAAATGCCACAAATTGGGGGGGTTCATCATGGTTAATCAATTCTTTTCAGTGCTCCAAGGCCCATGACCAGCTATAAGGTGGGACGCCGGAGATCGCCACGGGGGGATTTCCAACGAGCATGTTCCATAGACAATACATATTATTACATATTTATATATAACGTATGCAATGCCATATATTGATATATATATATATATATTGTACACATATATTTGTAGATCATAAACAGTATACGTAGATATAACATGATATAAATACCATGCACGTAGATATCCATATGGTCCACCCGATACCCCACTGACCAGCTGGTTGATCCGTGGTCGATCAAAAGCCAGGCCGCCATGGGCTCGGGCTATGCGGCAGTTGCTTGGCCGAGGTTACACAATACGTGGCAGCTATGCCTTCATTATCTTCATTGCTATGTCTGGAAGTTTTCACGTGAGTCACGTATGTTCACCAAAAGGCTGCTTTGATTCATAGATATTCATAGATAAATGTCCCTCCCCACTGGTTGTGGGGATATGAGAGCCGCTGGGCCTGGGAAGTGACTGCCATGAGTTTCCCATCTCTAAGGCGGGATTGCTCGGACTCATCCGTTGCCTCCGTTGTACAAGGTCCCCTGCAGCAAGTGGATCGAGATGGGACAATCTGATACAATTTGGATTTAGTGACCCCTGAAATGGGTGGCTTCAGATCCTGAAAGTGACCCTTGGTGGTTGCCTTTGGGGGATCCCCATCTTGGCTCCCTCGTTTTGAGACAATCATGTGTCTTCAGCTCGGCCAGGTGTTCCTTGCTGCCCGCAAATGTGATGCTCAGGCAGCTGAATCCCCACTTGGCCGAAGAGGTGGTGGAGGTGCAGCAGGGCTCCTGTTTTTTGATGGCAAAGTGTTGGAGGGAAATCATCTTAAAACCCAGTTAAAGTAAGTGTTTGCATGGGTTTATACATGTTTATACCCCAGTTGGTAGTCTGATCTTCTTGACTCGGTTGACTTGTAACTTGGATCAAATGGATCCAAATGGTCCAAAGTTCGGTGCTTTTGTCAGAAAGTGCCATGATCATGTGGCAATCATTCACTATAATTGGCGATGCTTTTGATCCCAATCGGATTTCAATTCACCACCAACGTGGGCTGGTGACAGGGGACTGCGCTGCTCTTCCCCAGTGAGTCACTGGAGCTACACCATTCGCTTCTTGGCAGCCTCTCGTACATTCCCATTGGATTGCTTAGTGTTATCCCAGAGGGTGAGCCGATGTGGAGCCAGAGGTTCCGATTGTTGGCAAACAGATTAGACACATTCCCCATCATTGATGATCATTGTTGGTTGGAATCATTGCTTCAAATCCCGGATTTTGTTGGTCAAATCCAACTCTTTATACCAAAAAAGACCACTCTTTATTGGCTAAATCCCAATTCTTGTTGGTCAAGTCCACATTTTTGTTGATATGGTTTTATCTATCATTTTATCCATACTGCCGATTGAAAGGCCATGTCTCCTGTGAAAAAAGCCTTGACTGGGTTGAACTAGTATATTTTTCGCGAGGCTCGTGCTCCCTACTGGTCTTATGCTGGTGAACAGCTTTGGCGTGGGACCCAGCTGGGTTCCCGATGGCAACTCATTGGGTGTTCATCAATTCAGATGGAAAATCATAGGTTTTGACTCATGCCCATGTGACTGAAGGGTGTGTTGCGAGATTTTGAGAGTCATCAGACATTTGAATTTCAGACAATGTGGCAGGTTCCAGTGGCACCAACTGCGCGGCATTGGTGGGGGCGGCTGCAGGGCCGCCCAGAACTTGTTGCATCAGGCGGCACTCTCTGAAGCTAACAGGGAAGGGAGATCTTTAGGGCGCTGCACCTTGTTTGCACAGATTGAAGAGCGGATCTGAGGCACGACTTGGATCAGACCGGCATCCACAGACTGCAGATTCCAAAAAATGATGAGTGACGGAGTGACGGGTGCCATTAGGGAAACACCCAGAAAGCTTCCTATGGAAGAAGCTGCCACAGAAAAAACAGTCAGCCCGCAGCTCCTGTAACCACTGTTTTTTTCATGCTTTGTAAGACGGGGCAGGCTGAAACCTGTAAATTCTTAGGGAGAACTACTAGACCGAATGTGTGCCATGTGCCAAGAACGCTTTGACAGATGATAATTGCTAAAGGGAGTGAGCTTTCATGGCTTTGTTTTGGGCATCGGATGCACTTCCAGGGTGCCATGGGTGTCGTCAGACCATCAGGAGGGCCTCTTTGAGCACTGAGAAAGGCTCTGCGAGGTTTGGCTTAGAGTTGTTGAGTCCAGACCCGCCTGCGGCTCCGGCACCGTTTTGCCAGCCTCAATCAGCAGGCAGGGAATTTCCACAGCATCCAGCATTTCTGTCTGCAGGTGCAAGGAAAGGATGTTCTTCAGAATGACTGAAACTTGCAATTCTAGTTGGGCAATTGGCAGGTCGCTAAATGTCCCTTCTATTTGGTGGGGAATTTCAACACACTTCCTGAAATGGCTCACAGGGTACCCCGAAATCGAAATCCCATGGCTGATCATCAGTTTCCCCATTCAGATGGCCTTAAAAGTTGAGTATTGGAGATGATCTGATGGTATCCGATGATCCCACAGGCTGTTGGCACGGAGCAATGGTGGGCAAGGATGGGAATGGGGTGTGAGAAAGGCATTTTCAGATGAGCTTCAGCTGGGTTGCGACCCTGAATTCTCGTTGAAGATGCATCCGTAGCCCACTTCTAGAAGCAGGAGCCATAGGAGTCCCAGTTCTTTTCTTTGCCTGAGACGTTTTTTTCCCACTGGAGGAGGTCGCGATGATCTTCCCCATGTTTGAGGGGGTGATGTTTATCTCAGCGCCTGGAACCCTGGACAACTTGGACAACTTGGACAGCTCGACCATGGCTTTTTTTGGGGGTCTGCGGTGGGGCTGAATATCACACCAAGATATACCAAGGTATATGCCACACATGATTGCGGTCCTCATCGTTCTTGCGACAATTGTCCGAAAACCCTTCAGGATTTGTGCCGGAGTCTCAGATCGAACAAAACTTTCCTCGGGTAAAAAGCTTCAAACACTTGTGGAAGGTCAATTTAGATACCTTTACCTTGATATATTTCCAGCACTTAGTCCACTTCTTGGGGTGTCAGCAACCAAGCCTTGTGACCAACTCTGGAAAGTTGAGGTGGTGGTGCTGCCGATTTTGACGCCAAATACTCAGAATTTCCGGTTGCACAGGTTTTCTGTGCCCAAATGAACGTGGTAAACCTGGCTAGAAGGACCTTCCTTTGGGATGTTCTGGGTACGGTTTCAATGCCACCCATTTCCGGTGATCCATCGGATGATCAAACTGTGTTTTGGGATGTTTCCTCAACACGACGCCACCCACCATCACCCACCTTAGGTTTGGCTTGCTCTGTGCCCTCGCAATCCAAGAATCTCGCTGGCATGCAGAGGCGACATTCCTGAGACCTGTTGGGTTGATACACTACATAGGAAAACTCTGGGAAACTGGCGTTGACTACCCTGCAAAGCGGGGTATTTCATGCATCATTTGGCTTTGTCCAAAACTAGGAGATACCCCAAAATGGCACTTTTCACTGCAATTCTTTGGACTGATTCTGCTTCCTGTGGGAGCTGTGACTAGACGGGTTTCTCCATGTTGCATCCCCTACCGACTCCGCCTTTCCGCAGGCTGAGGGTTATGACATGACTCAGCCATCACTCCGAGAAGCCTTGGAGGATTACATAGCAAGTGGCAAAGGCAGCCTAGAAGAAATCTTGGAGGGTCCACGGCTCAGAGACCATCCAGCAATGATGCAGAGACCAGCACTTTTTGCATTCGCCGCTGGGCAGTGAATGCGGTGATTGCGATTTGGATGGATTTGGTCGGCATTTCAAGCTCAATCCGAGGCAAAAAGTACCCTCCCGTCTTTGGCAAGATTGAGTTGATGCGATATCTCAACACCTGGTTGGGCAAAAGTGCATCTTGGCGCATGGGGCAGTTCCTCAGGTGGCCCTGTTGTCGAGGTCTCGAAGTATATCTTGTTAATATGTCCTGTAGACCAGGCGAAGGGGGTCCGGAGCTGGTTGAACAAGTTGAACATGAAAGTTCCAGAAACCCATCTGACATGAAAGTTCCTGTCAGAGTCCACTCTCTCATGGTTCAGTTTCGATGCAGACCAGCTGCAGAGGTGTTCCACGACACCGACCAGGATGCCGACTATTTGCCAGAGGCGCACTGAGATGATTGCCGGAGGGCATAGGTGGCTGACATGTGGACCCCAGAAGCATGATGTGATTCTCAAGAGATAGTGATATTCTTCAACCCATCGGCTGCCTTCTTTCACACTTTTCACAGGAGTGATGGACGATTCAGACCTGTCTTATAGTAATTCCCATCCCTCCTGTTTTTTCATCCTCAAAGTGTGAATGGTCAGGTCTGATGCAATGGCTGGCTTTGTCCGAGAATGCAATTTTAGCAAGGAACATGATGATAAAGAATTGGAATTTGGGGTGCCCACTCTTGAAGAATCACGGCTGGCTTAGTTTTTTGAAGCAAAAGCCTCAGATGCCAGGCCTACAACAAGGGCGATGACTGGTTCGAGGCTACTCTGGCAGATCCCATGGTGTATACTGGAGCTCTTTATGCAGGCGGGGCGGAAAATCCAGTATATAGACCCCCAAACTCTCCAGCCATACAGCGCCTTATCAAGGACCAATGCACCCAATCTCAACAACCTGTGGCTGAGTTTCTCCGGTCGTGAGGCTCCAATGAAACAGTCTGGTCTGCGCAGCAGAAGAAGTTTGAGCCCTGAGCCCCCCGTGGGGAGATATCAGATGATGTCAGGAGGTTGAGCCATGAAAATACCTGGACTTTGATGGGTAGCTTGGGTTCCACTACCTGGTTCAATCGTTTCAATCATATGGAAATTTTGGGTAGCCTGAAAAGCTTTCGTTCCACAATATCTGCTGTGAATCCCTTCTGACGAACCTCTCAAAGAGAAAGGACAAAGTATGGGGCACTGCTCAGCTAGTTGATTGGTACACTTGCTTCAATGCCCTTTCACTCAAGGACCATGTGCTCATCCGAAGACACATTGCCTTCATCACCCATGGGGATTTTAATGCCTCGACCCATCCATCCCCCCAGCCCCCAGCGTCAAGCTGATTCACTGCTGGGAGGTTGGAATTCATCGCCTACTCTCTTGATGTGAAGAAAGGTGACAAGGTCACCAGTGATCCTTCACCCATTTGGGATTGTCCAAGAATGTCTGGCAATTTTGACATATTGTGACGGGGAGAACGATGATAAACTGTGGGGTGTTCAAGCAAAAAACAGTCGAATGGATGATAGGAAAGTTGTGGGATGCCATATTTCAGACAGAAGCTCGCGGTAGATGGAAAAATTCTCAAACAGGCGGAAGACCCGAGTCATGAGGTTCTGGTTCATATAGTCCCAAATTTTATAGGATGTATTTACCTCAAGTCCAGCAATTGCAGAGAATCCTTTGGGATCCATCGATTTGGAGGTTGTGAAATGGGGATATAATATCCCTAAATGGTCCGAGACTCACTTAAGCCGACTTTTTTACTCATTATAAGCCGACATTTTGTATGTTGACTTCAGAGTTAACTCCATGGGGTACAGACCTTTAGGTTAACACTTGGGGACACTTGGGGTGGGTTTAGGGGACACTTGGGAACACTTGGGGTGGGTTTAGGGGACACTTGGGGACACTTGGGGTGGGCTTAGGGAACCAACTCCAAGGGATACAGCCCTTTAGGTTAACACTTGGGGACACTTGGGGACACTTGGGGTGGGTTTAGGGGACACTTGGGGACACTTGGGGTGGGCTTAGGGAACCAACTCCAAGGGATACAGCCCTTTTGGTTAACACTTGGGGACACTTGGGGTGGGTTTAGGGGACACTTGGGGACACTTGGGGACACTTGGGGTGGGCTTAGGGAACCAACTCCAAGGGATACAGCCCTTTTGGTTAACACTTGGGAACACTCGGGGACACTCGGGGTGGGTTTAGGGGACACTTGGGGACACTTGGGGTGGGCTTAGGGAACCAACTCCAAGGGATACGGACACTTGGACTTGGGGACACTTGGGGTGGGTTTAGGGGACACTTGGGGACACTTGGGGTAGGCCTAGGGAACCAACTCCAAGGGATACAGCCCTTTAGCTCAACACTTGCGGACGCTTAGGGGACACTTGGGGACACTTGGGGTGGGTTTAGGGGACACTTGGGGACACTTGGGGTGGGCTTAGGGGACACTTGTTCCTGATACGTTGTAGCATCCTCTTCGAGTGACTTGCAACACGTTCCTGCTGCATTGTGACATCTTCTGCGCGGCCCTTCCGCCATGTTCCATGCATGACGTTGCCACATCTTCTTCAAGTCCCTTGAATGATGTTCTTGCTATTTTGCAAACATCTTCGTCAAGTAGCTTGCAATACATTCCTGATACGTTGCAACATCTTCCTACTTTTAAGTAAATTGAACGACCTTCCTGATACATGTGTCACCTCGTCTTACAGTAACTTGCCAGATGTTCCTGATACGTTGTAGCATCTTCTTCGAGTGACTTGCAGCACGTTCCTGCTACATTGTGACATCTTCTGCGCGGCCCTTCCGACATGTTCCATGCATGACGTTGTCACATCTTCTTCAAGTCCCTTGAATGATGTTCTTGCTATGTTGCAACATCTTCGTCAAGTAGCTTGCAATACATTCCTGATACGTTGCAACATCTTCCTACTTGTAAGTAAATTGCACGACCTTCCTGATACATGTGTCACCTCGTCTTACAGTAACTTGCCAGATGTTCCTGATACGTTGTAGCATCTTCTTCAAATGACTTGCAACCCCTTCCTGATGCATTGTGACATCTTCTGCGCGACACTTCCGACATGTTCCATGCATGACGTTGTCACATCTTCTTCAAGTCCCTTGAATGATGTTCCTGGTTTTTTGCAACATCTTCGTCAAGTAGCTTGCAATACATTCCTGATACGTTGCAACATCTTCCTACTTGTAAGTAAATTGCACGACCTTCCTGATACGTTGTCACCTCGTCTTACAGTAACTTGCCAGATGTTACTGATACGTTGAAGCAACTTCTTCAAGTGAGTTCAAACATGTTCCTGATACATTGCGACATATTCCTGATACGTTGAAACATCTTCTGCAAAGTGACATGCAATTCATATGATCGAATCAAAATGTCCTGCTCATCATCTCTGTCGGACCTGTTGCAGTCATATTGAAAGACTTCTATGTCACTTTCTATTGGTGCTGCCATCATATTTCACAAACGTAGGCGTAAGCGAGTAAAAACGTAGGCTTAAGCGAGGTACTGACCTCCCTAAATCATCCATTTTAATGGGATTTTCCATTCTAAACCAAGATAACCAAGCATTTTGGGGATTCAACATTTATGGAACTCCCTATTTGGACCTCGAGATGTGTTGCAAGTCCATCCTGGGGTTAATTCAGGCCTTGGAGATTGGCTGCGGTTGGGGACGCGCCAAGCCCCAGCGATGCGCTTCGGGATCCCTTTTTCGGGAGGTTTCTCATCCCACAAAGGAAACCCAAAAATGGGACAGCAAAAAATCAACAGATCCAGTACGAAACCAGGATTTTTACAGTTTTTTGGGAAGGGATTGGAGAATTTGCTCGGAAATCTCGGGGTGAGGCCTCTCCAACTACCTTGCCAGCAAGGGAGCAAAGGTCACAGGCGACGGCTGCCGTGCTCAAGTAGCACGGGCTTGAACAAGTGATGTTCAAGTCTGGAGTCACCAATCACGCTGGCAGGAACTGTTTAACTGTTTTCACTCTTGAGCTCCCCTAAGGGTTTGAAAGTTTGGCCAAACATATGGAATCATGGGCCCATTGAGTACTTTACATTGTGGCTTGAATATCTCAACGCCCGCTGGTCAGGCGTCACGATGTCCACAGATCAACAAGCTTATGCCAAACGAATGAGCCCCTTGGCTAAACTGAGTCAAACTCAGGTCCTTGTGCGCACACTTGGCTGAACCTGCCCAACACACCCTACTCAACACATGCTGAGAATCCTCGCTTTGCTGTAGTCTGTAGTTTGGTGCAGCCATTTTTGTGTTCAACATCACTCCTCAGAGATTCCACAAAGCTTTGCTAGCATGAGCAGCATGAGTGAGAAAATGCAGGCGCTCTCCATCCGCAGCCTGGCCTTGGAACCTCCAAATGCAGCACTCCTGCGGAGGTTTCCAGATGTACTCCACCCTGCTATGCACCATGCACCAGCTCGCAATCAAGTCTTCCAAGACGACCGTGCTGACCGTGCTGACCGTGCCGAGGGTGTCCAGTGTGTCAAGTGTGTCGAGTCTTCAAGGGCTTCCGCTGGAGCGGGAACATCAGAGCAGACCCTGCAGCAGTGAGCCACTGTGACCAGTGACCAGCGTGTACCCGATTCGTTCCGTGGCAGTTTTGTTCTGAAGATGTACAGTAGTTCAATGATGTGTTTGATAGGTTCTTCTCACAGGGAAACTCCTGGAGAGTGCTGTCTTGCCAGGGCAAGCACTCTCCTTCAGGGTATTCAGAGTATCCTGGGTGCCGAGAGCTTATCGTTGAGCATCTTGTAAATATCTTCAATAGAGGCCTTCTGCTGTGGCCCGATGATATTTTGTGGCAGATTGCACACAGTCCAGCGGAATTTGAGATTGCTGGAGTGGAAGTTCGGAAGCTGAAGCGTTGAAGTGAACCGAGACTCATTTTCCACTGACTGTTTGCAGGAAGTGTTTTTTTGGTGATACCCTTTCTGGCGGGTGCTCTCTTTGTAACATGAAATACATTTTGTATCATAGAGCGAGATTTGTTTTTCAAGATCCCGCCAAAGCAGGCATTTGAATTGAAGTCATAGCAGCCATAGCAGTCATGTTCTTTTTACACAGATACTCTTGTTTGCCTTGGCTTGACAGGTTTCCAGAAAGCAGATTCTGGTGACAGACCTGAGTAATATGGCGCAAGAGGAATATGGAATGTTAAAGTTAGGGATGGAAGTCAAAGATTAAAGACGTTGTAGATGCTTTGAAAAGAAACCGAATAATGCCTGTCTAGATGGCATTTGAAGTGGTTTACCACTAGCATCCAGTGACAGTGCTTGACCATGATACGCTGCTTGTCGAGTTGCGATCTGACTCCGTAATTACTTTGTTTCTTTTTTATTGCCTCTGTCAAGCTGATACCTTGCAAGGGTGTTTTTTTTCTCAAACTTTAAGGCAAATAACTTTGCCTCCAGTGAACCACAGGGTACACTGTGGGCCAGGGTTGGCCTAACATCTGTCCAGCGAGTCTGCGGCGAAGCAGTTTCGTAGCAGCAATGGAACAAGGTCAGTTTCTGGGAAAAAAGATTGCGGGTGCGGGCTGCGTTTTTCACAGCTTATCTGCTCCACCCCCTGCAACCCCCCTGCTCTGCCGAGGCCAGCAACTTGGCAATAGCGAAAATGTGGACATTGTCCTGAAGAATTTTTTTGATTTGGACTTGCCGGCCTGGAATCTCAGTATTTCCCGCAGTTTTCCACGATTCTTACTTATGGGAGTTGAGCCATGATGTTTTGGGGTGTCAAGATCACTGCTTTCCTTTCATTTGGTCTCTTTAGGCACTTACTGTCACCAGCCACTGCAGCATGTGGTTCAACATTATTTTACCATCATACAGTACATGAGATTACAATCGATACATACATTATATAGTATATCATATCAGGATGACATCATCATCATCATCATCATCATAATCATATATATCTAGACATAAATATGCATGCATGCATGCATGCATGCATGCATGCATGCATGCAGACAGACAGACAGACAGACAGACAGACAGACATACAGACAGACAGACATACAGACATACAGACATACAGACATACAGATATACATACATACACACAACGTTTAATATCACTATACAATATTTAAAATATTGATATTTAATATGTAATATTTATAATATCATATAAAATATAAAATATTTTCTATATATATGAAGTATATATAATATATGATTATAATATAATGATTATAATGTATGATTATAATATATGATTATAATATATGATTATGATAATATATATATAATATCATGTACAGTATATGACATATGATATACAGTATATGATCTATGATACATACTATATAATATGCACTATATAATATGTAATATACAATTTACAATATACAATATATTATATATGATATATGACTTATGATATTTAATATTTAATAAATAATATGAGAAATATAATATATAATACCTGATATATATATTATACAATATAATGCAAATACAATATATACTACATAACATAGAATACATAATATATAATACATAATATATATATATAATACATAATATACATTACATAGTATATAAAATTTATATAATGTATAATATCTAGTATATGATACACATAATATGTAATATATGATACACATAATATGTAATAATATAATAGATAATGGACAATATATAATACATACTATATATGATATAAAATATCTTATATGTTTTATATGAGATGTGGTGTATTATATATGATGTTTTTTTTAAAGGTAATAACATATAATAATAGATAAGATATAACATATGATATATGATATTTTATATATGATATACGATATATTTTACATATGACATATTATATATTCATTATAAGTTATATATATAATATACCATTATAAGTTATATATATAATATACGACATATAAATTTATATTTTCTATTATATATTGTTTACATATTATATATGATGTGTGATATATTATATTTTATATGTTATTATATTATTATATTATATATTATTATATATTATATATTATTATATATCATATTTTATTACATTATTACATTATTATGTTATATGTTATATGTTATATGTTGTGTTATATGTTATATATATATTATATGATATCATTTTATATTATATATTAGATATGATAATATCAGTAAATATTTCATATATGATTTGTTAAACACACACACACATATATATATATGTACATATATTTGACATATTATTATTCATCATAATATATATTATTTGATATAGTATATATATATGATATTTTTCATACAGTATATATATATGATATATTATATAAGATAATATGTATACATGTAACATTTACATATATATATGTATATATATACATCCTGCTCAATGTTGGTTTTCTGGTTCAATCAAGTTCGCCATTGACCCTGGCCCGGTGAGCCAGGACAAGAGCTTCAACGTAATCTCCTCAGTGGAAATGGCTGAGCACGTCGGCATTCGGAGCCTTGGCGCTAGCCTGGATCGATTGTCTCTACACCCCACTTCATGGTCATTTTAGGAGGCAAGGCAAAGTGGCAACTTATTAGTGGTTTAAGATGATCTAAGAGATCCTATTTTCAGACAATCAGCGGGTCTGGGTCCACTTTGATATTGAATCACATGTCCTTGCGCCAAAGTGAGACTTCAGACGCACATCCGAACGGGTAGCTTAAGGCAGCCTTGAGAGCAACCGTCGATCTCGTTTTGGAAAATGATCCACATGACGCCAAAACCAGAGTCCGCCAGGTTTAAGATTTGAGGGGATGGGGTTAAACCTACAATAACAGTAGTACCGCACAAGGCGGTGGCGGAAGTTTCAAAAACAGGAAACCTATAGGAGAGGTTGGTTGTTGTGAATCACTGATGGCAGAGCGAATGCACTGATGGACCGAAAGGTGGTTGGAGTCGTGTTTTTTGGAGTGGTTGCAATGGTTGCAGTGGTCACCTCACCCACAACTACTGGATGTAGTGTAGTGTAGTGCAGTTGTAGTTGTAGTTGTAGTGCAGTGTAGTGGAGTTGTAGTTGTAGTGTAGTGAAATTAGTGTAGTGTAGTTGTAGTTGCAGTGCAGTTGTAGTTGTGGTGTGGTTTAATCAGTGTAGTGTAACCTACTGTAGCGTAGTGTACTGTAGTGACTATAGTGTAGTTGTAGTGTAGTGTCGGCGTAGTCTAGTGTAGCGTAGTGTCAAGTAGTTTAGTTGTAATTGTAGCTGTAGTTGCAGGGGGCAATGTAGTTTAGCGTAGTGTAATGTAATGTAATCCAGTTGTAGTTGTAGTTGTAGAAGTAGTTGTGGTTGTGGTTGTTATTCTAACATATGAGTAGGTTGGTTGGGTAGGGTCTTTATGTGATTTGAAAAGATGTGTTGGACTGCTAGATGACTTTTGCCAATTTTGGCTAAAGTCATCCAGGCAGTCAGCAGATTTTGTCATCCCTCCCTCCTCTCCCTGATCCCCTCTGCGGGGTGATTGGGGGGAGGGCTAGGCAGGGCTTCCAGCCTCCCCCTGAACACCATCCTTTCTGTTTCAGGGTCGGGTTTGGTTTGTATCTAAGTTCTATCCTTGACACATAACATCTCAGGTGCGTTTGGAATATCAGTGATTTCCAACCATCCTGTTTTACCCATTGTTATTTAATAACAACGTACCATGTTAGCATTTACAGAGGCTGTAGCTTACGTCACTACTAAATGGAGTGCTCAAGAAAAAAGAAGTGAGTCTGACTTCCCGAGTGTCCAGTCTGTCCTCCCAATCTTTTCTAGTTGTAGGTGTAGTATAGTGCAGTGTAGTATAATGTAGTGTAGTTGTAGATGCAGTTGCAGTTGTAGTGTAGCGTAGTGTAGTGTAATGTAGTGAAGCTGTAGTTGTACGTGTAGTTGTAGTTGTGGTTGTGGTTGTAGCTGTAGCTTTAGGGTAGTGTAGTGTTATGTTGTGTTGTGTAATGTAGTTGTAGTTGTAGCTGTCTATCTATCTATCTGTCTGTCTGTCTGTCTGTCTATCTGTCTATCTGCAAGCTTGAAAATGAAGCTATCCTGCGAGACTTCCTCAATGTTTTGACTTGACAACGTCAAAACGCAGGAATTCTGCGAGACTTCCTCAAGTTTTGAACGTGGCAAAGTCAAAAACGAAGAAATTCTGGGAGACTTCCTTAAAAAATGGAAAGTTGAGTGCAGAGCTGACGGCCTCACCAATGCAATTTGCGATTTTTCCAGTCCATGTGTCTAAAGTATTGCGCCTGCCACGAAAAAGTGATGCCAGGTCATACGAAGCCGCAAAATCATCTTAGCAAACCTAAAGATCTGATGCTCCAAAAATGCAACACTTCTCAGGAAATCAGCGCCCTGACCTCCTCACATCTCTGATGAATATGTCTCTTGTATCGCGCCTGCCACGCGAAATGCATCTTTGCAGATCCTCTTGACATGTCCCACGCCTGCCATTGTTTTAGGAAATGCTAGAAACCTTCACGTTTTGCTCACTTTTGGCAAGGTGCGGAATCCTTCGCGCCTGTCACGCAAAACCGCATCTGAACCTTCAAAAATGGTCCGAGCATGTGGTGTTTTTAACATTTTGACTTGGAAATGTGCCGTGCATCTCAACTTCCAAAAGTGCTTCGAAAATGGTGTGCTTTGTACATGTTGACTTCGAAATGTGCTTTGCGCCACAACGGCGTGCACTTTTTGAACATCTCAACTTCGAAAAGTGGTCCAAGACCGTCAGTTTTTAACACTTTTGACTTCGAAATGTGCTTCGCGCCACAACGGCGTGCAATTTTTCATTTCTCACCTGGCCAGACGGCTCCGCACCCGCCGCTTTAGCGAGCCTACTTTTCGACCCTCCGGAGCCACAAATCATGCGAAAAACGCAGTGAGTCGCGACTTACTTTTCTACCTTTTCGCGCACCTGTACCTTCTTTCCTCTGACTCTTTCTCTTCTCTGATCTTCTTTCTTCTTATCTTCTCTTCTCCGACTCTTCCCACCTCTGCTTTTCCATCTGTCCATGTTGTCGGAAGTTTGGCTCCTAAACTTCCTTCGAACATGGATAAAGCATGATAAAACCTTTTCTGGGACGAACATCCATAAATCCTAGCTATTTTGGGGTTCACCAAGGCACCAGTCTGAACTGATGCCGTACTTTCCCTTTTTAGTTTCTGCCCAGGAACTACAACAAATTTCTGCGGAAGGCCGCTGTGGAAGCGTGGAAGCTGATTCGTTGATGCCCAATATAACAAAATCTTCGTTGCTTGGCCCCATAAAAAAATTAGTATAATGTAATCTGTAAAAGACTGATGCGTCTATCTAGCATTAATCTCTTGATCTCTATATCATTTGTGCATATATATATATGTATGTATGTATGTAATGTAATGTAATGTAATGTAATCTAATCTAATCTAATGTAATGTAATGTAATGTAATGTAATCTAATCTAATCTAATCTAATGCAATGTATGTATGTATGTATGTATGTATGTAGGTATGCATGTATGCATGTATGCATGTATGCATGTATGCATGTAGGCATGTAGGCATGTATGCATGTATCCATGTATGCATGTATGTATGCATGTATGCATGTATGCATGTATGCATGTATGCATGGATGCATGGATGCATGGATGCATGGATGCATGCATGCATGGATGCATGGATGGATGGATGGATGTATGTATGTTCCTAGTAAGGTCTCTTTCAGAGGTTTGGTCATGGGGTGTTCCTTTACCCCATTGGTCCCAAAATGCCCATCGCCCCCCAGAGATTTCCATTGAACTGAGCGTCAGGTGCACCGGCTCCTGGCTGATGATGGTACATTTTACCTGCAGGTTGCGGGCCTGCCACGAGGCTATGCTTCAGGCCGGATCTCAACGTGAATCGCCCTGTTGATTGGCAATTGGTTATGATTCATTGATTATTCTTGATCATTCTTGATTTTTATTGATCATTGATTATTATTTTATGGAAAGGCCTGTTGTGAGCGGTGAATTTCAAGCTTTTGGGGTAGACATTCAATGAAAAAAATCGCATACACACAACAATTCCTTGCATATGTACAGTCAACCAGTCCGTTCTGACTGTCGGCTACCACACGTCCCTTCACAAAACCATGTGTTTGGCACCACACTATGTTCTGTCTCGCTTCCGCTTACGATTAATCCTGATTAATCATGATTGATCCAAACCAAAAAACAAACAAAAACAAAAACCAAAAACAACAACAACAACAAAAAACAATGTTTCCACAACTACTCTGACCTCTGGACGAGTTGCCAAATCTTTGTTGTTTTTTTGTTTTTTTGTTTGCACGGGGTTTTGGTCTGATCCTGATTAATCTGGATTAGTATCAGAACCTTCTACTTTATGACTCCGGCACTTAGTTCCGGCCTTCTTTTCTTCAAATTGAGATAAAATCAGATGCTCAGAGAGCAATTTTGTATTTCATCTAGCTTTCTGAAGGGTTGGCACTTTTCAAAAAATGCCGCAACAATTGAAACAATAGAAAGCAACAAAGTGCACTTAGGATAAGGGTTCAGCATTTTTTTTGCAACAATCACCCAACATCTATGAATCCAAGTCGTATTTTTTTAAGAACGTGATATTCCATAAAGAGAGTGCGGCGTGACTTTGTGCATTCCCTTTCAAGTACTGCAATTTGATCCACAGAATGCCATATTGTCTAATAGAATAACTGCCATTTGTAAGCAATATAGTCATCCTTGCAGGAATTTCAGGGAATATTGTGTTGATGCATTGCACTTTTTGACATAGATTCTGCATACTAAAATTGTGGCTGCAAGTTAAAAAGCACGCTACATATGGTGCAGGATTATTGCCTATCATTTGGAAGAAACGTGCCCTTTTGCAACAGGAATGCTGCATCTTTTCAAGGATTCCTCCATAATTTGCAGGGGTATTGCTTGTTGAAAAAACATTGTATTTTCTCAAAGGAAACTTGCAAAAGAATTGCAAATGCTTATTTACAAGCAGGGGAGGCTTCATTGTTGTATATAATATTACATTTAGAACAGGAATGCAACATGTTAAATTCATTCTACATACTACAGAAACATATATCCCCTTCAAAGGAAAACTGTACTTCTTTTGATGGAAATCCTGCATTTTGGAGAAAAACATGTGATATTTTGCAAGGGATAGTGGAAAGGTTCATGCAACTATATCAATGATATTAAGGTGCAAATATATTTCAATATATTTATTCCTGAATTGTGTGTATTTAAAATGATCCTTTACCTTCTGACTCTGATGTATCTACTACATTGCATTCAATAAGGGCAACACAATTCACAAAGTGACTCTTAAACAAAAATGTGGCTTTGCATGGGGATTGCATGGAACTAGATTACATCCAAGAGCTTCTTAATAAACACCTGACCTTCTGGTTTGTTGGTATTTTTGTGTACATAGTTGGGTGGAAAGTATGTGCTTGAAAGTGTAATCTGTTCATATCTGGATTAATTTTATTTAGGATTTGCAAAACAAATGCAATTTTCTGCCGCTCACAACAGGCCCCTCCCTTATTTTATTACTACTACTAGTCGGGAACCCCTGGAAACTGCGCTCTTGGGGCGCGCCGTTCTGCACTATTACCATTACCATTAGTATTAGTATAAGTATTACTATCACTATTGATTATTATTGTTATTATTATAGTTATTACATGTTATTACATGTCATTACCGGTACCATTGTCATTATTATTATCGTTATCATTATTAGTTTTTTTTTTTACAGTCGATGATCGGGATACCTCATAATTAATCAACTAGCACACTGGGTGGTTGAAGCGGCCCTGGCAGGCTACAACCACTACGAGGATCTCGTTGGGATCTCTCAGTCAACTGGGAAGCGAACAGGAATAGCTTGGTGGCAAGGCTGTTTGGTTAGTGGTTTCACAAACAGTTTTGGATGATTTTTAGCCACAAACACGGGATGATGATCCCCTGTGACTTTCGTTGTTCACAGATAGGTTCCAATCACCAATCAGCTGCTCCTCGCGGAGCTTGAACTCTTATCAGCGTCAGACTCCAAATCAATCGATGCTCACCAGTGTTCACATTCATTTTGATTTGTTGTGCGACAATCGCAGAAGCAATAATTTTGCAGGTCCCCAGTTGGCTTTTGTGAGATTGGGTCAATATATCTGAACAATGGCTGCTTGGGTGCCCTCAGCATTGGGTCTACCACATCTGCTGAGTGTCCCTCAATGATTGGCTGCTGATGCCACAGGTATGGGGGCTCTTCATGGACGAACACGTCTTTCCGGGCGCAGACGCCTCCTGCCCCATGGGCTGGGTGGGGCAGCCCAGCCCTGAAAATTTCATGGTTTCAGAGCTGATATTCCCAGTGAATTGTCATTTTTTTGGGGGCATTCCTTGGACAAACTCACGAATATGAACCATATAAACCAGAACTGAGGCAAGTCTGGCCGACAGCACCTGAGGAAAATGACAGAAAACATGAGCGGACTACTTTCACAGTGCGAAATTTCCTTGCTGTTTGATGGTTTCCAACTTTCAAACCAGTACCTGGTTTGAATCTGAAAAGCCAATGGTTTCTTTTCAACCAATGTCATCAGAACCAATGGTTTTTCATCGTGGCCCAATGTCAAGTTTCGCCAGGTGGTGACGCACCTGGAGCAGGCTGGATTCGAGGCGCCAATGGTTTTTTTGTTAGGAACATGGATCCACCAACATGATAAACTTCTAAGATTTCTAATTCTGTGAAAATTTGGAATAGCCTATTTTCAGACAAACCCACATGTAAAATGATTGCAGATAGGGAGCTCCACTGCTGGAATCCATTCATTTGCCCCCACTGTGTTGGTTTTTCGTCCTCCCAGTTGTGCACTCCCAAACGGCATCGCAGATGTATCACGTGGCTCAAGGATTTCGATCCCGATTGGTCAGTGCCCGCGCCTTTCGTGCAATGACCTGCGAGGTGAAAATTCAGTGGCATCTTGACCGACTTTGGACGGAGCAAAACCCTGGTTCCGATGAATTATCCAGAAATGAGGTAAATGTAGGTATGCCCGGATGGTGTTGCATTCTGACCCATACCAACGTGTCTCAAACTTGACTCTTAAAAAACCCAAGACTCTCAAGGTTCGTGATGACCTGTGAAATCATTCCCCTGACTCCTCAAGGGTTGAATTTGGAAAGGGGACCCAACCACTGTTTAGCCGCTTAGCCCCATTCCCAGACATAGCTTGAGCTTCAGCCAAGCCCATCCATGCGAGGAAGAAACCATAAACCGATCCCCAGCTGGTTTTGGATTTCCGCTTGAAGTCTAGCGTCAATCCATGTGAGTATGGGTCAAAAGCCTGGTACGACTAGTTCAAGATTATCTGATTCGTTTTTTTTAAATACTATTCGTAAGCCTATATTCAATAGTTTCATTCTATTGCAGTATGTTTTGTTATATTGAGTATGGATTGTCTTGGGTATCTCCACCTCAAAATCCGCAACCCTGAGGTGCGGAGGCTGAGGATATGGCAAACATGCCAAGGCAACTGAAGACATGATCCTGGAGTGGTTCCCTTCAGGTCAGGGAGGGATTGGTGATCGAACATGGACATATATATATAATACTATATATATAGTATATATATATTATATATATAGTATAAATATAATATATATAGAGTATATATATACTATATATATACTATATATATATATATATGTACGATATATATATATATACTATATATATATATATACTTTATATATATATATACTATATATATACTATATATACTATATATATATACACGATATATATATATATACTATCGATATAGTATATATATACTATCTATATACTATATATATACTATATATACACTATATATATATACACTATATATACACTATATATATATACACACATTATATATTTACGATATATACATACACACTACATATACACTATATATATATATGGTCCCGTGTCCCGTGTTCCCACCCCTACATGGGGAGGTATATACATACATATATTTACATGGGATGGGGGGGGGTATGATGCCCCTGTGGTGGTGTATATACATACATACATACCTACATACCTACCTACCTACCTACATACATACGTACATACATACATACATACATACCATTACATTACCTTACCTTACATTACCTTACCTTACCTTACATTACCTTACCTTACATTCCATACATACATACATACATACCATTACATTACATTACCTTACCTTACATTACATTACCTTACCTTACATTACCTTACCTTACCTTACCTTACATTCCATACATACATACATACATACATACATACATACATACATACATACATATACAGACACACACACACATACA